AGCAGGATGCTGGACTCTGCCATTATCTGTACCTATGATGTCAGTATACATTTAAATAGCAGAATGTTTGTGAAGGACTATGCTATTGTAAACATATGGGGGTAGCCAGCGGGGGGGAGGGGTTTTGTTGAGGGGGTAAGGGAAATGCCAGAGCCAATGGAATTATACGATAAGAATTAAATATATAAATAAAAATAAATAAACAATTTATATTAACAACCAGAACAACAACAGCCCTTTCTCTTTGATCTGATGCCACGCTGATGGCACGGAAAGGCACTTAACCTCGATTTGCAATAAGCTTCACCTCGAGTCTGCAGAGCAGGTGCGCTGCATCCCCACAGGTCAGGAGGTTTCACCCAGTGTCTGAACGTGACTGTGGGGAGCGGCAAAGGCACACCTCCACCACCCTGTGCCCCTGGAACCAGCCGTGCCCCCTGGAACCTCCAGTCTGAGCCACCGAGTGTGAGGGCTGCAGGGCAACTCGGCGACAGCCCAGCCTCCTGCCGCTCCGACTGGTTCCACACCCCAAATGCTTGCATCTGCCAGCTTGAAAAGACAGTGTCTGGCAGACTTAGAGCAGGCAACTTTAAACTAAATCTTGGGCTGGAGTCGAACTAATGCTTAATGCCTCCCTACCAGGACCTCGACCTCGGAGTTGCAACCCAGGTAGCCCAAGAGGCCACAGGACCCGGGAGGAGAGAGCAGAGTGAAGGTGTTGAGGTTCAGGATGACTTCCTAAATGACACGAGTGGAACTAAATACTGAGGGTTTATTTTTAGCAGATGGACAATGACTCCTCACTGGAATTTTCTTGCTTTCCTTTGTATTTGATGTGTCAGACATTTAGGAAGATGCCCATCCATTCTATACCAAGCTATGACTGGTTCCTGTCTGAATAAACATCTGATTTAATGGAAAGTTGCCTTAACAGTTTATTAAAACATAACTTTTATTGGCTTACCAATACAAATAAGACCTTGGGCCTGGAGCGGTGCCTAGTGGCTAAGGTCCTTGCCTTGCACGCACACGTCAGGATCCCTTATGGGTGCAGGTTCTAATCCTAGCCAGTTCATATCCTGGCAGCCCCGCTTCCCATCCAGCTCCCTGCTTGTGACCTCGGAAAGCAGTTGAGGATGGCCTAAAGCCTTGGAAGGAAGATCCCTGCACCTGCCCGGGAGACCCAGAGAGAGGTTCCTGGCTCCTGGCTTCAGATCAGCGCAGCACCAGCCGTTTTAGCCACTTGGGGAATGAATCATCAGATAAAGGATCTTCCTTTCTGTCTCTCCTCCTCTCTGTGCATCTGCCTTTCCAGTAAAATAAATAAATCTTAAAAAAAAAAAAAAAAACTATGCGTTTCCATGAAGTTCTAAAATGTTTTAACGTATGGACAACTATTTTCTACAACTTAATTTTTGTACTATTGCTCTTCTGTTTTGAAACATTTCATAATAAAAATCTTTCCCTCAGCTGATTTGTAGAAACGCGTCTGAATGAAAACAGAGCAGACCACGGGCGTGTCTGTTGAGAAAGAGGCTTCGTGGCATTTGAGTCCCGTGGTTTCCTCCTCGAGTCTGCTCTCTGTAAAGTACAGGAGCATGGCGGAGCCTCCCACAGTGCCCCCTGTTTCCCGGGGGGAGGGGACTGTGTTCAGGGAATCCCTGGATGTGTGAACACCTGTAAGGCAGGAGCCTGGATGCTCCTCATGGAGTCAGTGAGGATGGTTGGATGCCCAGGGTCTTCCCCAGGGACTCTCCTTAAAACAGTTCTGCACTTGAGAAGGAATTCTCCCAGGCACCAGAGGATTAACCCTGCCACTTCTCCATTGAGATAAATGAAAGAAGGAGGAGTGCCAGCAAACACTACTCGCTCTGTATCCTCCAAAGCCAAACACTGGAAAGTGCAAAAGGCAAGATTTATAAGCAGCAGGAAGTATGTTAGGACCTTCAAAAATAAAATAAATTCTCCTGCTTATTTTGCTGGTGCGGATTCCTTTCAGGTTTGGGTCCAGTTTGTCATAGCTAAGAAATATTTCTCTGTGGCGGAATCTCAGAGGACTCGCCCATCACCTAATTTCTCCTGGGCTATCTGACATGCTGGAATGTACTAAGAGAATGGAAATTATAGATAATTTAGCTTAAAAAAAAGTTTAACCGAGAAGGAAAACAAGTTCGTAATAATAGCATTTCATCTTTTTCAAAACCTTCGATAAATCATCCATGATAGCATGAGATGGCCTAAATTAGGGACAAATTTCACTTGCAGGGCTTCCACCAAGGGGGCAGACCTCAAACACACGGTTTAATTTAAGTTCTGACATGGGGGAACTGAGTGGGAAGTGGGTTATGGAAAAGTGAGTCGGAATGTTTTCCCGCAGTTTCTGTGCAGCCCCACACTGAAACTACATCCCCTTTACATGACAACCCAGCACATCCACTCTCCCATGATGCACCTGCATTTCATTCAGGACCAGGATGGAGGAGACACAACTCCACTTGGAGATGAAATGAAACTCGCGGAAAACCTCACACACCCTGAGCCTATTCAAATTGCACCCTTCGTAAACAGGTACCTGGCCTACAGCAGCTCTCACCCCCTTAAAGGGAATGGAGACCAGGGTGAGGCCACTTATGGTGCCTTTTCTAGCCTTCTCCTACACTCGCACCTGTGTGGTCCTCTCGTGGGGGGCTTCTTGTGGGGTGACCTGCACTCCCACGTGAACGTATTCTCACTCTCTCACTTTCTATAAATCCTGATTTTATTGTTGCACTTTATGGACTCACCTGTTTCACATTCTGATTTCACGCGCAGGAACAAGAACTTGGAATAAAAGCTAGGATACACATTCCTACAAGAGTTGTGTAATTCTAAGAGGACCCTGACCTGAAAAGTACTGTAGTACCTCTCAAAACTGGAGAGAACGAAGGGGAGACCAGGTACCAGTTTACAGAGCTACCAAGATGAGCAGGTCCTGGCTTCTTCTTCTTTTTTTTTTTTTTTTTTAAAGATTTATTTTATTTTTATTGGAAAGGTGGATATACAGAGAGGAGAGACAAAGAGGAAGATCTTTCGTCCAATGATTCACTCCCCAAGTGAGCGCAACGACCGAAGCCAGGATCCAGGAACCTCTTCCGGGTCTCCCACGTGGGTGCAGGGTCCCAAGGCCTTGGGCCATCCTCGACTGCTTTCCCAGTTCACAGGCAGGGAGCTGAATGGGAAGCGGGGCTGCTGGGATTAGAACCGGTGCCCATATGGGATCCCGGGCGTGCAAGGCGAGGACCTTAACCACAACGCCACCACGCTGGGCCCAGGTCCTGGCTTCTAAGGGATTTGCTTTGCTCTCTTTTTTATTACTCCCAGCAACCTGAACCAGTATTATTCTGATGTTCATTTTGCAGGTAAAGAAAGAATACACAATTGTGTCAACCTGGGTTAGCCTCCAGGCCTCAAGTCCAAGTTTGTCCATTTGTGCCCTCCAGGTAACTGAGAAGGACACTGAGAGACGATGTTGCTGTTCTAAGCAGTGAGGAGAAGCCCGAAGCCTGCAGAACCTCAACGAACCTCAATGAGTGGGTTTATTTCCACCAGACTCTGCAGGCAATGTCTGGTAATCATTATTGAAAGCAGAATCTTAAACCATAAATGCCATACGATTTCAACAAAGAAATTCAAAAACACAAGCAGATATTCAAAATCTAAGTTCACTTCTTGAAAGGATAGCGTCGACACTAGATAAAGTACTTTCATACTTTTATCCATTTTCTGTTCTCGCAAGATTTCTACAGCTGGTAGACTAGGATGTGAAATGCCGTCAGGAGTGATTTTGCTACAGTTGTTTTATAACCCCCCCCCCGTTCCTTTTTAATGTTTGCCTTAAAAATGGGAAAATCTTGATACATGAGTACCTTGCTTATATCTATAAGGCTGTTAGCCTGTAACATCATTTCCAGTTTGCACACATTTCCTGAATTGCATCCTCTCCAAATTTCCTTTTAAATACACACAGAAGGTACTTTTCTGATTTTATGTGTGTGTGAGTATCACGTAAAGCATTTGCCACAACTGGGAGTTTTCCTTCCTGGCTGCCTTAGTGGTCAATATTCTCAATAATTTCAATTAACTTCGGTTTTGAACTTAAATTTCTTACCAAAGTTTAGAACACAAAACACTTGGTAGTTGCAATATCTCAGGTCAAATGTCCGACTCTTTCTTTGTACCTTCTTTCTTTGCACGTTTCATTCTTTCATTACTAAATGCTGACTCGCTCAATTCATGTCATCTAAATTCACTTCATTAGCAACAGGCCTAGAACTCCACCCTGGGCGCAGGGCTGGGCGGGTGTGGGCAGTCACGGAATGCACTCTACACCAGAAGTCAACCCCATTGCACATCAACCCAGTGCGTACTGCCGAACCCTTCCGGCTCACTGGGCTTCACACTCCTTTCATTCACTATCCAAGCTTTTCTTTTTTCAATTTCCATTCTTTTCCCAACAAGTATCTTTCCTTCTGGAGTGCTTGGAAGTCCTTGACGAAAGCACACTGGGTTGATCTTGCCACCAACTGAAAGGCAAGGGGCTCAGGCTGGAAAGCTTCTTTTCAAGGAGAACTCTTCTCCTTTTAACTGCCAGATGTTACTTCTGTTTTGCAGTAATAAAGCTCTCCTGATTTGGATCATGATAAGTGGCTTTACAAGGTCAGCCATCTGACATGCTATTGAATGATGCTTTGGGGTGCCTGATGAATGCTTTGTGGAGAGTGGCATTTGATATCTCTGGCCTCTAACTCCATCTCTGAGGTATGAGAAAGATGTCTGCCCATCCCATGATGTTCCCGGGGGACCGCCCAAGGTTGACATAAAGATTTGCTAACACGATGCCAATAGCACTGTATGTCAAACAGGAGACTGCATAGTTGCACATGGCTTCTATACCTCTCTACCCTAGGAATGTGGCAGAGCCTCAGAACTCAAGGATGGAAGACAAAGGTAGTGAGATTTACCAATTCTTCATTGTCAAACTCGGGGTTAACCTGTGCTGCTTCTTCTGTCACTGGTTTCTGAACAATATTCCTGCAGATGAGCCAGATGGTGAGGCTGGCAAGGAACATGCCAATATCAGGTACAAACACGCGGATCCCGTTGCCAGCGTCGGCTCCTTTTAAGCTAAGGAGGAAAAGGAGAAAGACCAAAGTTAGTTGTTCTTATATTCATATGGTTCAAACATTTCAAACTATGTTTCACTCTCAGTAATGATTGAAAATAAAAGGCCCTCCCCAGTTTTTGCCTACAGGTATCAGAAAGCAAGGCATCAACGGCCGAGTCTTAGGAAATTGCCTATGAATCAAATGTTTCAAGGACGTGTCAGAAATATTAATAAAGAACTCGAAAACAACTCTCAAAAACATGCTAAAGAACTATATTGTCGGTTAATAAAGCCACATGACCAGCATGAATACAGACATTTACAGTTAAACTGCAGTAGTCAAAATCCATAAATACACTAACAGCTGAACTAGTTTTTGTTGGATATAAGTCAAAGTTAGAAAGGAAATTGCAGAAAATGTGAAAGCAATTCTTGAATCACGAGCTCTTCATTTGTATCCCTAGTCGACTTTGCCATTCGTGGTGCACCAAGAGGAGGAGATCCAGTATGTGTCCTTCCTTCTTAGGGAAGTGATATTGAACTTGGAATTAGAATCCCGGAGTTAGGTCTAAGTCTCACTTGGGGTGCCGGATGTCACTTGGGGACCGGGGGTGGGATGGGGGTGATGGGAGGTGGTAATGGGTTTCTCAGAATCACCTGTTCCAATGTGCAAGAGACAGTTATCATTTGCTGTCTTTGTCTGGTTCCAGTGGAATGGAATGGAATCCTAGGTCATGAGTTTAGGAAAAGCACAATTATGTATCTGTAAAATAACATATGTGAAACACATATGTATAAAATAACGTGTAAAATATAAACGCATGCTTCCTCTCAGGCATATGCTTTGAGAACAGCAGCGTCCACTAACACTTAGATCATTTTAACCCTGACATAGCATTTATTCTTAGCACTGGGGTCTTGGGCCCGGCACGTAGCTTAGTGGCTAAAGTCCTCACCTTGAACACACTGGAATCCCATGTGGGCACCTGTTCTAAATCCCTGTAGCCCTGCTCCACATCCAGCTCCCTGTCTGTGGCCTGGCAAAGTAGTCGAGGACGGCCTAAAGCCTTGGGACCCTGCACCCGTGTGAAGACCCGGATCAGCTTCTGACTCATGGCTTCGGATCAGCGCAGCTCTCGCCATTGTGGCCGCTTGGGGAGTGAATCATGGACGGAAAATCTTCCTTTCTGTTCTCCTCTCTGTATATCTGACTTTCCAATAAAAATAAACAGTCTTTAAAAAAAAGGAAGAAGAACTGGGATCTAAAAGGAATGGAGTAGAGCAGACGGTGAAGGCTGAAGGATGGGTTGGAGAGAAAGGCCTCGCTGGGAGAGGAGGAGGGGGGCTCTGTCTGGGACGGTAATACACACACCATCTGTGACTTTGAGAAACATCCAAAAGCAATGAAATTGGGACTAGGAGGCGACATATTGAGCTGCCAGCAGGGCTGGCCAGCACGCAGCACCTCAGCAGAGTGCGTCCTGGCTAAGCTCACTCCGCCCCGAGTGGAAGACAACAGAGTTTACTAGGCCCTGGCTGACTGCTCCCATCATTCCGCACACGGCGCAGCTGGCCACAGCCCGCGCCGCCATCTTAGACCGTCACCTACAATGCCACCGGGGGAGTGCTGCGTCAAAACGTGCGGTACCCACAATGCCACGGGGGAGTGCCGCGTCAACGTGCGGTACCCACAATGCCACCGGGGGAGTGCCGCGTCAACGTGCGGTACCCACAATGCCACCGGGGGAGTGCCGCGTCAACTTGCAGGCCTAAAGCCGCACCGACCGCAGGGTCGAGTCCCGGTGACTGCAAGCCACAGGGACCGTGATGCTGCAAGGTTCTGCTCTCCCGCGTCTTGAGGAATAAGCTTCAGCACCAATGAGATCACCGGGTGAAACGAAGAAAACAGAAGCACACTTAGGAAGATGACATAGCTGGAAGAGGGAAGAGCCAACTGGTTGTGTCAGACTTCTGAGCTGTCACGGTGAAATGTTCCTTATCCAAGTGCTTCGCTTGAAAGTGTTTTGGGCCCAGCACGGTAGCCTAGTGGCTATAAAGACCTTGCCTTGCTCGTCCCAGGATCCCATATGGGCGCAGTTGTGGCCGTTGCACCTACTTGGGGAGTGAATCAGCAGATGGAAGATCTTCCTCTGTCTCTCCTCCTCTCTGTATATCTGACTTTCCAAAAGAAATAAATACATCTTTAAAGAAAAAAGTGTTTCACACGTTTTTTTTCTCAGATTTTTGAATATTTGAGTTTCCCTGAGATATCTTCAGAATGGGACCCCAGTGGAAACGAGAAACCCATGAACGCGAAACCCACGCATGTTTATTCGCGCCTTCTACACACAGCAGGAAGGAAGGTGTTTTTTGGCAACAATTTAAATCTTTTTTTTTTCTTTTTTTGCAAGAAAGTGAGTCTAATTGTGTGGGATTTTCCAGCTGCAGCACAAAGTTAGCATTCAGAAGGATTCGGATTTTGGAATCTTTGAGTTCAGACTTTGGGATTAGGGCTTCCCAACCTGTATTGACATTGTGGAGAAGATGAACTTGCCCTTGGAAACATTAAGACGGGAACTTCAAAGGAGGGTTGAATTTTGAAGGCAATTTTAAGATAGGACTTTTTTTTTGGAGACAGGAAAGCAAACCATGGCCACGCATAGCAGTCATGTCCCTAGGAGGATATTTCCCCCCAAAAAATCAGGAAAGTGGGATTAAAAATGAATTCGGTGTGAGAGCTTTCGATCAGGTGGTCGTGACGTTAGTGGGGCTAGAGGAGGCCATTGGCGTTGTGGCATTGCAGGTTAAGCGACCACCTGCAATACTGACATCTCCTAACGTTGCCTGATCAAGTTACTGGCTCCATTTTCGACCCAGCTCCCTGCTAAGGCACCCGAGACAGCAGTGCAACATGGCCGAAGTCCTCGGGCCCTTGAACCACTCGGGGTTCCTTGGCAAGCAGGCAGCAGATGAAATGTCTGCACATACGTAATATATTATGATAAACAGCATCATCTGAACCGATGAGACTGATCTGTTCATTTAATAAGAACTGACATTTTTATAACCAATGAACAATTGTTACAGACCATCGTAGTTGAGGGATGAAAGTCTAGACTTAACGAGTCCATGTGTATAATACAGTATGTGAAAGTTAAGCCTCAGTTGAATTAAGGGTATTCTAATCAAGGATTTTCTAGAATCGAATCTTTGGATTAGTCAAATTTCTTTCTTTTTTGTTTTAATTGGTGTGCAGAAAAGCCCATCCAATGGTTCAGATGTTGGTTAGAAGGCCCACAATGCACGTTAGCAAGCCTGGGCTCAGAACTGGTTCTTCATTGCATTCCAGCTTCCTCCTGCCCATAGGAGGTCTGCACAGGGTTCTGGGCTCCTGGCTTCAGCCGGGGCAGCCCTGGCTGTGCCAACCGTTTGCACGGTGCCTAACTTTGCCGATCTCTACTCTTTTCAAATCAATAATAATAGAGCAATTAGTCTGAAGGGAGGACTGTGTTGTGTAAGCTTCTTCTTTTTTTTAACAAATGGCTTTGAATTCTTAAACACTGTGTGTCAAAGGTTTTAAAGGATGGCAAATTCAGGCCCAGAGCGCAGTAGCCTAGTGGCTAAAGTCCTTGCCTTACACACTCTGGGATCCCATATGGACATGGGTTCTAATCCTGGTGGCTTTGTTTCCCATCCAGCTCCCTGCCTGTGGCCTGGGAGAGCAGTCGAGGACGGCCCAAAGCCTTGGGACCCTGCACCTGCGTGGGAGACCGAGAAGAGGCTCCTGGCTTCGGATCAGTTGAGCTCCATCCAGCCTTTGTGGCCACTTGGGGAGTGGATCGGTTGACAGAAGATCTTCTCTGTCTCTCCTCTCTCTACATGTGACTTTCCAGTAATAATAATAATAATAATAATAATAATAACGGCAAATTCCTTTCACTTGGGGGAAAGGCTAAGAAAATTCAAATAAAAGAGCTTTGTCTGCCCTAAATTTTAAAAAATGAAATGTGACTGATGATGTTCTTTTTACACCTTTGATGTCTGACTTAGTGGAACACAGCAAATGAATGAATATCAGTAGAATGAGAAGGAGATGGGCCAGACAAGAAGGCCAGGCTTGGGGGAGCACTCTTGCCCCGGGCTGAGGTTGGGAGTCCCGTCTGGAACTCCTGGTGTGGAGTTTTTGGCAATAGTTTATTACAGCTCTTGCCTGAAACATAAACGGACTGTGGCGTCTTTCTAAAAGGCACCAAGCAAGCTGAGTTGAGAGGAAAAGAGGCGCAGCGGGGAAGGTAACCGGAGCACAGCGGAGGCCTCCGCTGCTTTTGCACCACAACAGAGGGCTCTGGGCCACCGGAGCCTGAGCCTGGGCCACCTGTGGACTGCATCACGCTCCCCAATTGCAAAGAGCCACTTGGAGGCCACAGTCTCAGCTTTGTGTCCCAAGAGGGCTCTCTCACAGCACGCGTGTATCGGGCTGAGACCCTTTCGGAATGTAGCCATTCCACCACAGAAGTGCTAAACTATTCACTTCGACTCATGTTGCTGAGTTAACAAAGCAGGGCATTCATAGCGCTGCCTTTGCGGGAGCAACAGGGCTTTTGGAAATATAATAAAGAATTGGTACAGTAATCAGGTCATAATTTCAGTGCTATGTCACCTTCTTACCAGGAAAGCCCCCTCCTCTGTGGTTTCGCTCAGTGTTTACACTCATCAGGATGCCAGTTCTCAAAGGTGCTGTGCATTGAACAAAGGCGTTTGTCTCATGGGTGCTTAAAAGGCGAAAGACAAAAATCCCCTTGCACCAAAGAAGTCTCAGAAATGCACAACACAGATGACTATGGTAAAATACTTTAAAAGTTCCTCGGTAAAACAATTAATTGGAATTAGCCCTTTCTCCTTGTCGCTTCTTAAACTACAAAATCACTTCTTAAAAGTTTCAGCAAACACCACGGACATTCTGCAGAGCTGTGCGCATAAGCCGCAGTAAGCAAACACTCATTAGTTAAGGTTTTAATTG